CCGGAACACAAAAATTGGCTTAAAAATACGAATTGGATTGTTATTCCAAATTTGGATCAAAGGCCAAGGTATTGGGCTAAAATACTCTATTTGGGCCGAAAAATGCGCAACTGGGCCTGAACAAGGCTGGGAATTTCGCGGGCTGAGAGAGGGTTGGGATGCAGCTCGCGGGCCGCTAGCTGCTGAGAGGGGACCGGGCTGCGCGGGCCGAATTTCGGGCCATAAGGCCCGCGCGCTGGGCTGCCCTTCAAATAAAAAAAAATTGAAATTTTTGCAAAGCCAAGACTCGAACCCGCGACCTCGCGCGGAGAAGGCGTCTACAAGACCGCTGCGATACACGCACTCCACGTTAATTTATTTGAAATTTATATAACTGAAGTATAATAAAAGCCTGCAAACTGAACTGAAAACAGAGACAGAAACAAAGGTTTGAACAGTGATGTAAATCTGCGAACAGGCTGCAAAATTTGACCAAATTTGACAACGACATTATTTAACGGCAACCGTATTCGAGATATTATCAAAATAACATAATTTTCAGAGTTCCGAAACATGTTTTTATTAACGGTTTTGGCTCGAAAACGGAACAACCAAAATAAAAGCAAAGAGGACGACCGAGAGTTCGAATGACCCGAACCATCTAACGACGACTCGAAACAACAAAACGAGACTCCAAACTTATGCACATTTAACACAAAAATAAAACGGTATACACGCTTATGAAATCGAGAGTCCCAATCACTTCCGAAAATCCACGAATATACAAACAATCAACAAACAATAACAAATCAAACTAACATCCGATCTTCAAACGCGAATTCGGTAAACCGAACACATCATATATATAACATGTTATATACGAAAACGACCGTATTAACGAGAAGATTATAATAAGTTACCCGACTTCAGGAAACTACGAGTAATCGGACGGGAAACGGGTCCGACAGCGGGTCGAAAGAACGGCTTTTGGAACCTGGAACCTACGAACGCTTCGGGATACGCAGCTCACGAACGGCCACTGATCTAAAATCGACGATGGAAGGTCAGCCGCTATGGAGGTTGTTGGTGACGGCAGAACGCTGCTCGGAGGGCTCACCGGGGTTAATGGCGGACGGCGACTGGGAACTTGGAAAAAAGAACGGGGTCGTCGGCTTGAGCTGGGGTGCCGCTCACGCGTAAGGGAGGCTGGGTGTTCGACGGACGCCGAAATAAAGAAACTTCCGGCTAGGATGGGAGGTTCGCCGGAAGTTGCAGGTTAGCGATTTTTTTTTTTTTTTTTTTTTT